ATAATATTGCCCAATGAATAGATCAATTGGTAGAGTGCTCGCTTTGTAACCGGGAGGTCGTGAGTTCAAACCCCGGCCGGGTCATACCAAAGACTTTAAAAATGGTACACACTTCTTTCTCTGCTTAGCACTCAGTACATATGAGAAAGAGTGTGGGATCAAACACACAGCACTACCAGCGGACTAGCCCCCTGCTGTAGTGCGTTGAGATGGGCACCACCATACGCTCTGCATAAGGGCACGGGAGATACCTTTCCTTTCCAATGAATGCAGTGGAAACATTTGAAAACATTTTTAAGCCGATGTCCTCACTATGAGACCGACAGTTACCACAATTTCCCCATCTTTTCTTTATTTAGAAGATCACCAAAAGACTACGTTTCTACTAAGATCACAAAACCCACTCATTACGCAGAATGTGGGACTATTCATTATCCACTGCCTTCAAAGAAGAAGTCATACCTCAAAATAGCTAGCGTAGTAGTAGGAGTATAAGTTTTTCTAGACAATAGTTGTCTGTCTCCTATTATTATATTGTACCGAACAGTATCTTTGACTGTAATTAACAATTAACCTTCGGGCATGATTTTGCAAATAAAATCTATAATGCCACTATTTATCTACCAACAACAGTTCATTATAATTTTTGGCATGTTCTCCATTAAACTTGTAAACTTGTAAAATATAATACAGTAATGACATTTGTGCAAAGTGTCTTACTCATCAAGGTCAACAGGGCCTGTCAGGGATTCAAACTAAGGACCTTTTGATTTTTTTAATTTCAGTTTCTAATATTCTGATCTGCATGAAATAAGCAATAAAATACCACCCCGTATCTCCGTTGGACGTATCAGTTGATAGCTCCGTATGGCTCCGTATATAATGAAAATGAGCACCATTTCATAATAGATTGTACACTATACAATGATAAGCGCCTATTGCTGTTCACCTTTCTTTCCGCTTGTTCAATTGATTTCAATACGTTAGATCCTATAGATGAATTCAACTATATTCTCAGGGGAGATGACCAATACAGCGTTCAAATAGGAAAATACATTAAAGAATGTTTCGATCTTAGAGAACACATGTTCTTAGAGATCTTAGAGAATAGTTAACCTTTATTGTTACATCATACATATACTCTGTACGTAAGATGACGTTATCCACACATGTATTTACCTTGTTAGATCTTTAGTTGTAGAAGATCATACAAAAGTGCCTGTACTTTTTTTGTTGTGTCAATAAAGATTCTGTCAGTATAATTGTGCGATAACTCGTGATGGGGGTAGACGTAGTCACGTTTGGGATCGCGTTCTTATATAACTGACAATGTTTTAACCACTGCATATCTCACTGTTGTAGTAACATTATATCTACGTGCCACAATTACTTTACGTGGGACGTCAGTGCACTGTAAACCAGGACCACCTACACATTGTTGTATCTTCAATGAACATCGATCCAGTCATTATAGCCTTGAGGGAGATGTCAGGCGGTCAACGAAACGTCGGCTCTTGTTAAACAAGAGATTGTTGTTCAATCATTCACCAACCTGATGAATTTATAAAAATACTCATGATGGTATAATGTTATGAATAGTCCTTTGAATCTATACGTGCAAAGATAACCCAAAGCAATTTCTAGGCAGTAGAGCTTGGATTTTCAAAGTCAAATTTCCGGTCATTTTTTAAATGCTTTAAGTTAATTCAACCCTGCTTTAAATTAATTTTCCTCATCCAGAATATATTTCCCATCCTGAAATTGCATTGGATGTCTGGCAGCCGCCTTGATTTGCGCTCGCAGTTCAATGCGATGTATTTTGTCCTTTTCTCCAGAAACGTATTGGCAGCAATATCAGGACCTGGTCAGATTCACGATCGGAAACTGAGGGCATTGCGATACTTAAATTTATTTCTAAGCCTTGATTTTGCTGAAAGCAAAAAACACACTTCCAGACACTTGACAAATCATGTATTATTAGTTCTATATGCTCGTACATCTTTAACTGCGTCAAGAAGCTAGAAGAAGTTGAACATGTAAATAGTAGATCACAGTAGTATGTATAGTTTAGGTGCAATTGCCGTATCCTTTTCCTTGTCTATCCATGACCTGTACTTAGCTTGTTAGAGCACAAACGTACAATAAAGGTCTTTCATTCAATGAACTGAGTGATTCGTACCAAATGAGCTGTAACGGAAATTAAAAGGCTTTCTTAGATCCTTTGATCATTAAATCCTTTTGACCGGTGCAATAGTTCAATCGGGTAGAGTGCTCGCTTTCTAACCGGGTGGTCATGTGGCCCAAGGGCTACAGAAATGGAGATAGGAACCACCCTTATGCTCCGCATAGAATGGAACCACCAACAGTGGACAAGTGTGCTTGCACAACTGTGTGACCCAAGGGCTACAGAAATGGAGATAGGCACCACCCTTATACTCCGCATAGAATGGAACAACCAACAGTGGACTAGCCACCTACTGCAGTGCTTGCTCAACTGTGTGATCCAAGGGCTAGAAAAATGAAGATAGGCACCACCCTTATGCTTCGCATAGTGAACCAGCCCCCTGCTGTAGTGCCTGCACAACTGTGTGACCCAAGGGCTACAGAAATGAAGATAGGCACCACCCTAATGCTCCGTATGAAATGGCACCCTCAGATCGTCCTGTCCCAGCCGGCCTGAAAAATTCGGCGGCATCAGGACCGCACGCGGCCCGACAGTAGGCCTGGTGAGAGCGCCGCGCCGTCATACACACGGGAACGGCTGTCACACTTCATACGCACATGGAGGAAAGTTTGTTTTGAAGACAGATATTTGCCTTGTATGGTGCCTATACACCTACATAAAAGGCGTCCAATGCAATATCAGGGCGGCAAAATAAAACAAAAATATCATGGATGAGGCAATCTGTGTGATATTGACATTTACTGCCTTTTCTACGCATATTTTCGTCATGATTTCATGACATACGTAGCTTGAAGCATTGAAATAGCCCCAAGACAAGCTACGTGAGTACTTTTCCTGTACCACCGATAAATAGCTAACACGATACGAAACAAACAACCATTTTCCATCAGCGACATCACACTTTTGCCTCACAGGTATCAGCATGATGTAGGATAGGGTTGATTTAACTTACTACATTACCAAACGGCTAGTAAATTGACTTTGAAAATCCAGTTGTACTGCCCTGAAATGGCTCTGTGCGCCTTGAACAGGTTGACAAAGATCCGTACTCACCTGTTATCCAGTTGTCCACACGGACGATGTCCCCCGACCTGGGCTACAAAAGCACCGCACACACGCGGTCAGACTCAGACAGCGCGCCGGCCTTTCCTCATTCACGAATAACCTGGATGTTTCTGTCTGAATGGGCGATTGATTGCAGACAATGTTTGTTAAGCCTGCACGCGCGTGTCTCGCTTGAGAAGACGTTTGAACCAGGCTTATCTCTTGAGCTGGATGCGTCATACCGTGAGCCCATATCCGGCTCATGTGCATTACGGCTGTCATTTGAAGATGGAGCCAGTGTGGAGAGAGCCCAATTACCGGGTGTGAGTGTGGTGAGATTGAAACAGCGCCACTCTACTACAGATTTGTCTTCTTGGTAGATCAATAACTGCTACTTCTCTGCGGCAACGTTATATACTGAGGATTCAAGAAAAAAACAAAAGCAGTTTGATATCTCTATCTTTGAAAAATTCTGCAATACCACGAATCATTAGTAGATTAGCATAGGATTCTATGCGAGGATATGATAGAACTAACCATAGGTGATATGAGGCACTACCGCAGCCTTTTCCGTACAGCTGAATTCTGTACGTCACATTTTCCTTGCAGCTCTGAGACTGGCGATGATTGGTCCATGTTGGCACATAAATCAATAGGATCAGGATTTTCAGGATTCTCCTGGCTTAGAGGTGCTGGCCATCAAGCCTCTAAGGGCCTGACCTGTGGAAGGGCTGCTAGAAGCTAAAACCGGTATCGAGGTTGGATCAAGGAGGTTAAATACAATAAATTTAACCTCCTTGGTTGGATGAGGGCTGCTAGAAGCGTGGTTTAGTCAGTCTAGAGACCTGACCAGTAGAAGGGCTGCTACAAGCGTGGTTTAGTCAGTCTAGAGACCTGACCAGTGGAAGGGCTGCTAGAAGCGTGGTTTAGTCAGTCTAGAGACCTGACCAGTGGAAGGGCTGCTAGAAGCGTGGTTTAGTCAGACTAGAGACCTGACCAGTAGAAGGGCTGCTAGAAGCGTGGTTTAGTCAGGTTAGAGACCTGACCAGTGGAAGGGCTGCTAGAAGCGTGGTTTAGTCAAGCTAGAGACCTGACCAGTGGAAGGGCTGCTAGAAGCGTGGTTTAGTCAAGACCAGAGTGACTGGTCGAAAGCTCTAGGTGAGAGAATTTTTGTGTTGGACCAAAGGTTTTAACTTTAAACATGTAAATACCAACACAGATGAACTTTCATGAAAGCATATATGGCATAATAACATATTTTTCTGAAATTTTGTTCAATCTTTTGTTCAGGTTAGTAATGATTTTGATTCTGTGATATGTCATATTATGAAAAAAAGAGAATATTGACCCACTTTCAAAAAAAAGAAAATGTAATGGCTTTTGATTAACGAGTCAAAGCGGGACTAACATGACTACAATAATTTCTCGCTACATTTGCATACATGCAGAAAAAAAGGTCTGTTCACACTTAACCAACCGCGGCCCGTGAACTTTGAAGATTGGTACTGATAGCCATGGCATTGGCCTTGAGCATATACTAAACGTATAAAATTCAACGGGCCGTATTTGATAAATTAGTCAGAGCGAACTTCTTTAAACTTCCCGCCATTTCCAAATACACAGAGAAAAGGCCATTTTCAGTTCTGAACTAAATGTGGCCCGTTAGAGTAAAAGACGGATTATTATAGCCAACGACCAAGTCTATGAAATAAAATTAGTACTAAGGCTTTAATGTAGTACGATGAAATGCACTATTATGATTATTTATGCACTATTTTTCAGTTCGCCATTCGTCTATGAAGGACATGGCCACAGTGTGACCGATGTTCACCACGGCGTGGTGGAAACTCTCCGGGATATAAACCACATCCCCCGCCTGCTGCAGGCACTCCAGTGCTCGCCAGGCGGCGCTCACGTACGGCTGAACATACTTCATCCTGTCCAGTTGTTTGAAACTGATCCCACCAAGAGGCGGTCGGTCCGGAGCAGACATGAACCATCGTTTGGCGCCGAACACGACGCCGTTCCAGGCCTGTCCGTGGGCGTGCCAGGAGAGACCCGGACCGGACCGGCCCAGGAACAGGCGGAAGGCTGGACCCTCCAGTCGCGACTGGTTCAGGTAGCTCGGCAGGCGGATGTGCGGCAAGAGTTCCGTCATAAGCGTCCTGTCCGCCAGGTACTTGCTGTCGAAACCGTCTTCGTCATCCAGATAACGCGTGAGATACGCGTCAAGCGTCTCGCTGTCGTCTCCTATCCCGTAATTACTGACGATGTCTGGCGGGTAACCCGTCCGGACCCGTCTGTCGCCGTGGCGGGACACAAGGCCGTCTCTAGTCCACACGTCCGGGTCCGTCCAGTCCCGAGCGCCGCCCCGGAATCGCAGCAACACCGGCTTCCGGTTCCGGTACGTCGATTCGAACTCTTCTGACGTCATCTGGTCGGCGTACCTGACGTCAAAGTCGCAGCGGCGAATGACACCTTCACAGACCCTGGCGGTGCTGTTGAGGGACTGAGACCGGTCTGATTCAGACTGCAGGGTGTCTCCCTGGCGGCAGTTCTGGGTGTGTTGAAACCCCAGAAGCAGCAAAGATCGGCATCTGTGTTCCACACATCATGCGGATTCACCCAACTAACCACCGCTATGACGGCACCAAAGGTAAAGAAGACGAACAACGACATCTTGAAACCATTTTTGTCTCGCAAACTCACGTTCTTATGAAGTTCTTCAGACGGGCGGCGTATTTCTTGAACAGCTAAGCCCGTCTTGGGATCCTGCAAGACGTCTTCACTCTCACCGGAATCCTTGAGATCCCGCTCGGGTGATAACTGCATTGGCTCTGACCTTGGCGTTCCCGAGTCCTGAAGGTCGTCAGTTTCGTCCGATGAACGCGATTTCTTCCCAACTTCGTCTTCCCACGTGACCCCGGTCCTCTTCGAGACCGTCGGTTGGTTATTCTTTCCAACGAGTTTCTTCCTCTTCCGCACCATTTCTCAGGGTTTTGTGGACGGGAAAACAGTGGAAATGTCTCCGTCCTCTCAGCGTCACTCAACACGTTCGATCGACGGTTCTAGACGCAGAACTCTGTTCTCCCGTGACGTAAAATGCTGTTCTCCCGTGACATAGAATGCTGTTCTCCCGTGACGTAGAATGCTGTTCTCCCGTGACGTAAAATGCTGTTCTCCCGTGATGTAAAATGCTGTTCTCCTGTGACGTAAAATGCTGTACTCCCGTGACGTAAAATGCTGTTCTCCCGTGACGTAGAATGCTGTTCTCCCGTGACGCAGAACGCTGTTCTCCCGTGACGTAAAAATGCTGTTCTCCCGTGACGTAAAATGCTGTTCTGCCGTGACGTAGAATGCTATTCTCCCGTGACGCAGAACGCTGTTCTCCCGTGACGTAAAATGCTGTTCTCCCGTGACGTAAAATGCTGTTCTGCCGTGACGTAGAATGCTGTTCTCCCGTGACGTAGAATGCTGTTCTCCCGTGACGTAGAATGCTGTTCTCCCGTGACGTAGACTGTTGTGCTAGGTATTTCTATTTGGAAGAATGAGAAGAATTCGTCTTTTTTTCCTGGATCGTAGACTGCACTTCACTGTGGATAAGACCACACAGAGACTATTGTTTAATATGAAGTTTCACCGGGTGTCGTGCGACCCGTCCACGTTAGGGGGCGCTCCACACACGGGGTTTTGAAAATGAAGATTTTCACAGCGTGAGTCTATCAACGCACGCGAGGTTGGCAATTTCTCTTCACACCAAAGGAGTTGTCACACCGAGTTAAAAAAATCTGGCACTAAAACTTCAACAAACTGCAAAAGAGACGATGCGGTTTTGATAGCACACATAGCTGTTGGATTTGATGTGCTTCTATAAAAGTTAATCTGTCTCTAAAAGACATTCTAAATGCTCAAACTACTTTTAAGTAATGAGCTGTTTATCTGTGCAATGTGTGTTGTGTTTTAGATTAGGGTTGAGTAACCCTGTCTTTGAAGGTTGAGAGTTTTAATTATAGTCTTACACAGCTTGTACTAATTTAACAAAACCGATGCTACGCCTTCAGGCAGTGTGCTCAGCTATGTGATACATGAATATACAAACTGAATAAGAATTCGCAGACCTCAGAACTCCCAAGCAATATCAATATCCTGTGTGATCACTCACCATTCAGTGACAACATCACATATAAAAGGAATGAAACGTACAACATGGTATCAAAGCAAAGGTTATAATGGTCTATAATGAACGACTTGGACTACATCGTCTATGAATCCCTTCTTTCCAAGCAGATGTTAGGGTTTGGGGTTATTTTTGGCGTGTTTTTAGACTTTTTTTTATCGGGGTTTCTTTTTTGCACTGGAATTTTTCTTTCACCCAACCCGGGGTGAGTGCCGGCAGAGGTTGGGTTGGGTGAAAGAAAAATTCCAGTGCGAAAAAGAAACCCCGATAAAAAAAGCCTAAAAAATACCCCCAAACCCAAACCTCTGCTTGGAGAGTAATGCATCCCTTTGTTACATGCACTGCATGTCCAAAAGCGCCCCCTGTAAGGATCGATTCGATCTGCAGCATGCTGCTATCAATCTTCCCTTTCTATCATGCTCAGCACATCCATCTGCTACGTGGCTTCGGGAGATCCAGGCAGGTTCATTTTCCTTCCTCGAGAGACAGAAGTCAGTTTTTCATATGTCACCACCGGTACCCCTTATGTAAACTAGAAAGCTTGTCGCTGGAGTTTACAGGCTTGTATATCTTTTCAATTTCGTCTTAACTTCCCATGGAATTTTCAACCTATGATCTATCGTTTCTCTTTCAACAAGAGTTCCGAGTTTTGACCTTGACCTTTGTCTTCCTAAGACTTACCAACATACCAAATATCATCCATAATCCATAAAGGCGTTATGAAGTTATGCTGACTACAAATGTGCGGAAACACAAACACACAGACACACACACAGACACACACACAAACACACACACAGACACACACACAGACACACACACAGACACACACGCCAAAAACAATACCTCCATTTTTCATTTGGGTAATAATATGACCGGAAATCGTGTGATTTTCGTGCAGTTCCCTTCTCATCTTTAACTCGTTATAGATTTCAAACCTCTTTATTCAAACCAACAGGTAATATTGAATGTCTTGCTTATGTTGTGTTCCCTTGATAAGGACACAATCAGCAACTTAAAAAGAAGCGGACCAGGAAATCTCTTTGTTTTGAATCAAAATGATCCATACTTCTATGTAGTAAACATCCCGAGATTCCAAAATGAGGTCAAAGTTAGGTTCGGCACAGCTTTTACCATGTTTACGGTTCTTCTGTGTTTTGTGTTACGTGCCGGTTGTGTGGTTGATAGACGTTCTGTTATTAGTTTTTTTTATTCCAGCATTTCATGACCAAACGTGGCGACGATACACTCAAGTTACACTCAAGTTATTTTTAGGCCGCCACCAACACAGAGTACAAAGACAGGACAGGACAATACACGACTTTCCTCACTTAACTCAAGTGAAAATGAGTAAAGTGCCTTTCACAAGGGCACAAGATCGGAGGCATGTCAGGACTCGACCCGGGACCTCTTGGTTCCGAGTCGAGCACTCTGCCGCTACGCCACACGACCCCACAAAGTTTTTATCAGTTTAGGAAAGGTATTAGAAAGGATCCGTCTAAGGGCCTGGAGTGAGTCATGGGTAGGTTGGGGATTGGTTGAGAGTAAGTCAGCAGTGATTGAGACGTAGTTGGAAGTCAGGTTTGACTCTTAACCACGCACCGACCAACTCCCAATCAACAGCCAACTAGTCCCCAACCATGGCTGAACCTCCACTCAATTCTCGAATGTTTCAAACATTGTGAAACATTCGAGAGTGGAAACGACAGTTTAAAACATTTGGCTGGCGCAGTAGAACAGCAGCAAATTTCGCCGATCACCAACCAGGTTGACAGACATGGCTCCCGACCTGTTTTACAAGGTTTAACTAAAGACACTGTAAGTCGCTTTACGTGATTGAACAAAAGAAAGAAAGTGACCAGGTGAGACTCTCCAAATTTCATATCAGTCTAATATCCCAGAAGACAAGCAGCAAATATGGACTGTTCAAACTAATAAATTCACCTGTCTCTGTCCCCTGTCTCATAAAGCAAGAAAAAATACTTTCTTGAGTTTACAGACCTCAAACAAATGTCTATTGCTTGAAAGAAAGGCAAATTCTATCATTATATTCGTACGCTTGGGGCTAACTGCAATCAAGGACGTTGCAATTTATCTACCATGAAAATCTCTTCATCTTCAACGCCTTGAGTTCTTCTGCTCAAAAATAAAAGAAGGACTCGAAAATCTCATACCTCCGTAGAGTATTTAGAAAAATTAGATTTTTTTGGATACGCAGCAGTCAAACGGGCAGCTGTAAGGCTCGTCCGTCGGGCTAGTAAGGAGAAACAGACATGTCTGTTAGTACTGAATAAATGTTAGATAGACTATAGGTAATACTGGATACACAGCAGTCAAACGGACAGCTGGCGGCGTCCTCACGGTGCTTGCCGCAATGGCTGTCTCCGCAGTATGGCTCGTCCGTCTGGCTGGTAAGGAGAAACAGACATGTTTGTTTCTCCTTCCTGGCAAAAACATAACCTTCTGGGCGAAGGTAAATATTTTTATATAACAGTGATGCTAATTATAAGCCGCGGCGTAACTTGCTAAGGACGTATATGGTGAAGAATTTAAAAGTCATGGATAGGAAATGACGTTTTAATTTACGTTTGAAAGTTTGAAGAGAGGTAAGATTTTTGAGGGAAAAGGGAAGATTATTCCATGGAAGGGCACTTTGATATAAATTTCACATTCCTCTGGGCCTGGGAGGTTCTGTATATAGGGGTATGTGTAATTGGAAGCTATGACGAGTTTGGTGGAATTGTGAACGAAAGTTGAGAAAGTTTTCAAATGTGTCTGATAAACTATGGTTAATAAACTGACAAGTGAAAAGGGCCAATTAAAATATATTGATGTCCAAAATATTCAAATAAACTCTTCAGTTTCATTCCTTCTCATTTTCTTCTTTTCCTGAATTGATGTTGGCATTCTATGACATTGGGTTTTTTTTCCAATAACTTCTCGCAACATATGACATATATTTGCTCATTATGTACGATTTACAGTGTGGTCGAAAACTTTTTTTCTTGGAAACAGACGAAAATTCATGCGCGCGCGGATGTCATCCATATAATCAAATCAACATGGCCTTAAAGGTAGTATATTACAAAAACGAAATAAGTATTAAAAAACACAACATGATCGTTTTATGATTAAAATTCCTAGATTTTATCATTATTTACCAAAATATTCTGTGTTCTTGCAATATTGCCATAATATATGATAACAATGATGTAAAAACTATAGGTATAAGGGAGACTATGCTTCTTGAAATTGTACTATCTTATCTTAATATCTTAATATTTTATTTCTAATATTATATTTTAATGCTAAAACGAAATAATTATTTAAAAGTACCGGAACATGGTCGTTTTAAAATCTGTGGCTAATATTCTTAGATTTTATCAATGTCTAGCCATACAATTTTGCCTTGATATATGATAATAATGATGTATAAGTATAAAGAGGAGTCCATTCTTTCGAGGTCCCTTTTTTATCTATTTATTTATTTTTTTTACTTCATGATTTACCACAAAACAAGGGTCATGAGAGCGACTCAAATGCTTTGGGTTGCTTTGGGTACAGCCAGTGAGGACAGATGTTTGTTGACATTAAACTTGAAAAGTTTATCGAATGTAGCGACTGCCCGGGTAACCTGGGTGTGCAGCTTGTCTCTGCGGCCTCAGCAGGTCAATCTTCCGCACCAGCTCGTCAGGCGTCGGCCGCCTCGATGGGTTGAACACCCAACATGACCTGATGATGCGGTACACCGGCAGCGGACAGTTCTGCGGCTGCTGCAGACGGACGCCTTTCCTCAGCAGCTCCAGTAGTT